GCTGCTGCCTTGTCTCCCTGTGCCTGTCCTGCAGACCTGCTGGATGCAGATGGACAGAACTGTTCTGAGGCCTGAGCCAGGAATTGCAATGCACAAACCAGAGCAGTTCAGAGCTGCAGCTGCTCCAGTCTCACCCCCTAAACCCCAGCGTGGGCACAGAGCTGAGTGCAGGGAACCAGGGGCTTGTGCAGGTGACTTCCCAAAGTTCCACCTCCAGGACTTCTCCCTCTGTCACATTTGGAAGCAGGTCACAAACCCTTCCTAGGAAGCTCATGCTCCCAAATGTCCATGGGCAGGACTGGAAATGAAAGCATTTTGCTCAGCTGGTTTCTGTGCCACACAATCCACGGCTCCATCCAAGCCCCAGACTCCCTCCCTGGAGTGATCAGCACAGACAGAGCATCAGGGGAAGCTTTTCCCTAAACCCTTGTGGCTACAGCACCTGGGTTTTCCATTCAAGGGTTCAAGATTTCCTCCAGTGCTGCTAAACTGGGAAATCCCTTTCAATGGAGCCTCCCAAGCTGCTGCTTCCAGCAACATTTCTGTCCATCGGCTTCTTCCCTTGGGATGGGGTTTCCCTCCACACCCTGGGCCAGCACCAGTCACTGGGAATCAGGAAAATCCTTCAAGTGCTTGGGCTCAAGTTGGGGCTGGCTCTTTGTAGAAGGATGAATTTCAGCCAGGAGTATCTGCAGAAAACAAACACCCTGAAGGCAAAGCTGGGAAGGAAGGGAAACCACTTCGAAATTGAAAATTGTGAGCAGCACTTCGCTTCCACACAGCAATTTCCCAAATCCAGCTCCAACCCTTGAGGAAGGAGCGAGTCCCAGCCTTGCTGTGCTGAAATCCTGAGATGTTGCTAAGTCTGTTACTAAGCAAAACATGTCTTAGCAGGCTAAAATCCCTTTCAGAACACCAGAGAAGCTTTTAGTGTTTGTAAACTGGATCTGAGCTTCATTTCTCCGGCAATAATGAAACCTTTAATACTTGTGAATTCTCATCGTTTCTGAGAAGGCAAATCCAAACCAGACTGGTTTAATCCAGGTCCAGGGGAATTAACTCCTCCTCAGGCCATGGACACAAAGTTAAACCCTTTTCCAGGCCCAGATGAGGGGAAGGAACATCCATTTAGTTTTGGAAAGCTCTGCCACCTGTGTCATCTCTTCCTCTTATCAGAGACAGCAGAGTGACAGAAAAAGCACAATATCTCTAATTTAAGTGTTCTGGTTATGGGCAGTGATTTATCCAGCCTGAGTAATGGCAGGGACCAGGGAATTATCTTCATTTTCTTAGGCACGGATCTCTTCTGAAACAACATCTCAGAGCTGTGGCTTGAGTTCAGAGTCGTATGCAGCGTCTGAAACATCTTAAATTTTATACATTGATGTATCCATGCACATATGTGAAGCCAGAATTAAAACAAAGAGAGCAGGACTAATTCTTTTTCCTCACACTAGAATTTTAACTTTCTGGTTTTGAGGATCTTTTGCAGGAGTTTAAAGGCTGACATGAAACTTTTAAAACTTGCAGGTTCTGGAGCCACATTGATTTCTGCACCATGCAGGATAAATAAGCTTCAATAATTCAAGTTTGGTCAAAGGTCTTCTTCCATCCTGAATGAAAATGCAGCCCATCACTAATTTTTTTTCAATTTTAGCCTTTTATAGACACATTATGGATTTATCTTTTTTAAAATTGCTTCTGCATGCATAGTAGTTTTAAGTGATCCCCTGTGGTTTTGAGGGCCTGTAAATTACTTTATGCTTTTCCTCTCTCACTCTCAGGGATATACAGGGATTATAAACCGTAGTGAGAGGTGCTGGCAGGCAGATTGGATGACAATTAGGTGGAACCACCGATGGGAGATTCGTAACAAGATGATAAATAATATTTTGGGGCAACTGGGAAAACAATATTTGTATGAAATCTCTTTCTGGAGGAATCCTCTTGTTGTGCTTAGGGGGTTTGATTAGGCCTTGATGTGAACAAGAGTAAAATGGGAATTATAACATCACCTTTGCCTTCCTTGCTTGCTTCAATCAGAAACTCCTGGGGATAGGGACAGCCTGTGGGACCAGACAGTACGTAATCTAATGGGCTAATTGCAAAATAAAATAATAATAATAATAATAATAATAATAATAATAATAATAATAATAATAATGGCTGTGTGCTGGCAAGAGCCAGCAGGGCAGAACAGCAGCTCGTGGTGATGGTTCAAAGGGATGACACACTGCAGTGCTCTGGGCAGGTGCCAGGCTCAGGTGAAAGCTTCCAAAAGTGGTTTGAACATCACCCTGTGATTTAGAGGAGCCCTGAACTGAAGCTGGTGCTGGGAAGGAGGAAAACAGACAGACCTGTGCCAAAAAATCCTGTGGAGGGGGGAAGAGGGAAAACCTCAAAGGTGTCAGTGTGAGCTGTGAGGCACAGCAGTGCAGATCCATTAATTTCAGTAGTTTCTCAGTTAAGAAAGAAAGGACAAGTCCTTTGATGGGCCCTCCATGCCCAGTCCCCCATAAACCACCTGTAGGATGGACAAATAAAGGCTTTTTCAAGAACCCCTTGATGTGAAGCCAAGATCCAGGGCAGTTTTGCAGCTGCTACCTGACATCCTCTCTTGGCTCCTGCCTGGCTCAGCCCAACTTCTCCCCTTAACACCTGGAAATCACATTTAGCCTTTCACCCTGGATTGTTTTAACACCTGCAGGGTGAAGCTGGAAGTCAGGCAGTGCGAGTTCTGCCCAGGATCTCACTCCTCAATACCACCCTGGGAAATTCTGCTTGCAGCTCAGCCCTGTGCCTGTGACCCTGCCTGAGCTGAGCCTCTGTGTCCCCTGCCCCTTCAGTCCCCCCAGCTCTACCCAAGAGCCAGGAGGCCGCTGCTGCCAGCAGCCATGGTATTTTGTGACATGCCTGACAGACTTGTCTGACAACTTGGAGGTTTGTTTTGCATAAGCCACCCAAACAGATGGTCACCACTTTTAAGCACCAGCCTGGATCCTGTTTGCATGCAGAGCTGAAATCCCATTTCTCTGAATTCCCTGGCTCCTGCTGGAGCTGTGCCTTTGGGGCAGGAGACAGAGGTGGGAGAGTTTTGGGCGAAAACTCACCAGGGCTTTAAGGCTACTTCTCCATACAGCCTCTGGCAGGGAGATGATGTTTTTACCTCTCTGGCATCTTGGTATTTTCATTTCCACTTACAGAGAAATGCTGAGAGTTAAAAAGAATTCTCTGGACCTTTAGGGAATGTCCTTTTGCCATGCACTCCTTTCTCTCAAGCTCCCAAACTCCACATCCTACCCTTGGCGGCTTGGATTTTATTTGGTTTATTTCTGTTTTGCTTCTTGTCTGAACTTTAATGATGAATTATTTGTAGCATTTCAGTGCCTGTCCCAGCAGAGAGCTGAGCTGTCACACAGGGTTATCCTGACAGCTTTACCCATCTGCCTGCTTGGATTCCCAATAGGTACTTTTTGCATTTAGGGATATTTTGCCCATTTTTCTGGCTTGCTCTCTGTGTTTAACCTTCTCTGCTTTGCGTGATGAAGCTCTGAGTGCACTTTAACAAATGTCACTGCTTTTTGGGCAGGAATGTGACCAATAGACACAATTCCTGAGTCAGGCAGGAGCAGGGCTGCCTGGCAGCCTTGATGGCACTGTTGTGCAGGTAAGAACCACTTTCATTCATAGGATCAAGCTGGGATTTTTTTTTTAATTCCAGCTCCACTGAAATACGCACATCTTTCCTTCCAACCATCTTTTCTTCCAACCGAGCTAAGCATGAAGTCACTGCTCTGCCCTGCTCTTGATTTGCATTCACTTTGCCTGAAAGCTGCCTGCTGATCTCAGGAGATAACTGACAGCCATAAGGAGTGCAAAGCAGCCCCGTGGAAAACAAAAATAAGATTTCCTGCATGTGCTGGTGGATCCATGAATCCACAAGGAACATATGCCCTTAAACTGCATGTGCCTGTCTATATTTATATTAAAGAAAAAAAAACCTTGTGACAAGACAGGCTGCAAATCCCCGGAGTTCTGATTGGTATCAACAACAAACGGAAAACTTAAGGAGACCAAGGAACCGTCCCGATCCTCACGGTTTCATTTGCATCCCAAAACGAGCAGTCCCACTGTTCTTAACTTAATAATAATTAAGTTATCATTAGTTTCCTGCCTGATTAATTTAAAGCATAAGCACACGCAGGGAGATTACACCAGGGCATGAATTGGACAAGAAAAACCGAACCACTTCGGGCTAGGTATGGAAATTTACTTCTGTTGCTCCGTCGCTTTTAGGGTGACTTGTACCCGGTTTAAAGAAAATCCCCCGGGTGTCCGAGCTAAAGCAATTCCAGTCTGAGTGGCAAAATCTGCCTCTGGCGATCCCCACCCTCGGGACGATACGGGCGGGCTGCGGGGACGGGACCCGGAGTGCCCGGGGCTCCTGCGGCCGCCGGAGGATGCGAGCGGAGCATCCCGCGGGTCCTCCAGCATCCCCCTGCTCCGGGAGCGCATCCCCCGCTTCCCTGGCTGCTCCGAGAAGGCATCTCCGGGCCGCTCCGGGAGTGTATCCCCTCGCTCCGGGAGTGCATTTCCCCCTCCGAGAGAGCATCCCCCCGCTCCGGGAGCGCATTTCCCTCTCCGGGAGCGCATCTCCTTGCCCCGGCAGAGCATCCCCCTTCTCCGAGAGCGCATCTCCGAGAGCCGGGTCGCTCGGGCATAGCATCCTCCCTTTCCAGGAGTGCATCCTCCCTTTCCAGGAGTGCATCCTCCCTTTCCAGGAGTGCATCCTCCCTTTCCAGGAGTGCATCCCCCTCTCCGGCAGCTCATCCCCGCCTCCTCCCGGTTTGGATCCCCGGCTCCCCGGCGCTCCCTCCCCGCGTCCGGCCCCGCGCAGCTCCGGAGCAGCGCAGCCGAGCGGCGCCCGCCGCTTCTCTCTCTCTCTTTCCTCCGTAAAGCGAAAGAAAGGAGGCGAAAAGCCCCGCGGGGCAGCGACTTACGCCCGTGCCTTGGGGAAGCCCATGGAGAGCAGGATCTCCAGCGATGAGCCATGTTTGATGGTCCCGGCGCGGGGCTGGCGGTTCCGCCTGGGGATGACTTTGCTGTACAGCTCCTCTCTGGCAGCCATGGCGAGCTGGGCCATCAGCGCGGAGCCATCGCCGCCCGCGCAGGGCCATGCACGCCGCGGGCTCGGGGACAGCGCCGGGGACAGCCACACACGGCCGGGGAGCCGCGGCGACACCGCCCACACGGCCCGCGCAGCCAGGGAGGGAGGGATGGGGAGGGATGGGGAGGGATGGGGAGGGAGGGATGGGGAGGGATGGGGAGGGAGGGATGGGAGGGATGGGGAGGGAGGGATGGGGGCAGCGCAGCCGGGATGCCCCCGCCCCGCGGAGGATGGGTGGGGGATGCGCGGGAGAGAGCAGGAGAAATGAAGGTTTCCTTTAATTAAAAAAAAAAAAAAAAAAGAAAGAAAAAAAAAAAGAAAAAAAGAAAGCACGTGCACGCGTGATTATTATTATTTTAAAAAAATATTTATTTATTACTTCTTTTTTGGCCTTTATTTATGATTTTTCATTTATTTATAGTTATATATTGATTGCTAGCTTATTAATATTCAAGTTATTTAGTTTATATTCAATGCTTATTGAATATATTGAATATATTGAATAGATATTCAGTGTTTAGTTATTTATTTGGGCTTGTGGGGTTTTTTGGGGGGTTTTTTTTGTTTTGTTCTTGTTTTTGTTTTTGGTTCGTTTTGCCTTTATCAGAAATCTTTTATTTATGCAATTATTTATTTATTTGTTTATTCCTGCTCCCTTTGCCTTTATTGTAATTTTTACATTTGTTTATTTATATATATAAATCCTCTTTCCTTCTTTCTCTCCTTTTTTTCCTTCTTTTTCTCTTTTCTTTGTTTCTTTCTTCTTTCCTCCTTTCTTTCTTTCTCTCCGTCTCTCTCTCCCTTTCATTCATTTTTTTCAGGAAATCCTCTCTGTGATCCCGACCGAACTCCACAAAGAGCAGAGGGGAGGTCAGGACTCTCCAGGTCTCCCTCTGCCACTTCCACTGCCATGGAATGGGCTGGAATAACCCAAACTTAAATCCCATCCCACGGCAGGGACACCTTCCCCTGTCCCAGGCTGCTCCAAGCCCTGTCCAGCCTGGCCTTGGGCACTTCCAGGGATCCAGGGGCAGCCCCAGCTGCTTTGGGCACCCTGACAGGGAACAATTCCTGCTCAATATCCCATCCAGCCCTGCCCTCTGGCAGTGGGAGCCATTCCCTGGGTCCTGTCCCTCCATCCCTTGTCCCCAGTCCCTCTCCAGCTCTCCTGGAGCCCCTTTAGGCTCTGCAAGGAGCTCTGAGGTGTCCCTGGAGCTTCTCCTCTCCAGGTGAGCACCCCCAGCTCTCCCAGCCGGGCTCCAGCCCTGGAGCAGCTCCGTGGTTTCCTCTGGCCTGGCTCCAGCAGCTCCACTCGATGCTGTTCCTGGTTCAAGGCACAAGAGCTGCACTCCAAGATCCTCATCCTTGTGTTTGCAGCAGCTCTGCTCCCCTCCCTGCAGGTTCCTGTGGGACAGATATTCCTGCTTTCCTCCTCACTGCAGTTCAACTCATCCTTCTCATCCTTTGCCTTTTTTTTTTTTCCCCAACTTTCCCTTTCTTTCCACTTTTCCTTTCACTTTTAAGGACAGGCAGATCCTGCTGCTCCTGCCAGAGCAGGCCCAGTGGAGAGCAGCCTGAAATCCCAACCCTGCCAGCGAGTAAAAACCCATTAAGAGGCATTTTTAAAAATAGTTTATGTTGGGGAAGGAAATCAATCGTGGCAATGACAAATCTATCACTGCAGTTGGTGTTATTCACATTAGGGAAAACCAACAGCCCATTTCCATTTTGTTCTATCAATGAAGGGGAAAAAATAATTCCCCTCACATCTCTCTGCTCATTCTCCTCCTGTGCCAGTTGATTTTCTGCCCCTTTATCCACAGGGAAAAGCCATCCCTGAAACGAGGATGCCACAGGAATTCCAGCTCCAGAAAGACATGGCACAAAAACCCAAAAATCAAACTAAATAAGTGCTTCTTGTTCCTCTCTTAAAATCACTTTTAACCCCTCTGATGTTGCTGAAGTTCTTTAATTTACCCCCACTGTTAATTGGCAAGGACTTCGTTAAAGCCAGAGGGTGAAACCAAGGAGTGTTTAATTGTGGATTTCAGGATCAGGCACCCAATCTACTCCATTTTCATTCAGGAGGAGAATTAATGGTATTAATAACCATATTTTCTATTCTATTCAATTTTTATGCAGAAAGATAATTAAGTGTGTTAATATCAATATTTATGCTGAAATTTGGATTGCTGGGGCCCCCAGAAGGGTTTGTCACCCATGAACTCATCCCAGCCATGCTGGGAGCACCACAAAGACACCAAAGAAGATAAAAAAATCCCAAATAAACTCTGATCCCACCTCCCCATCTCCCAGGCAGGCAATTCCCAGGGGAATGCAGGGACCTGCAGCCAGCAGAAAATGTTTGGACTTTTCTCCCTGGGCCTCCCTCCTGTGCTCCAGCTGAATTACTCAAGCAGGAAATAACAATAAAAATGAAATTTGCTATGGAAGCAGCTCCCAGGGACTTTGCCCAGATGGGAATCTCTTTCCTCTGGCTGTGACAGAGTCACACAGTGAATTAACAAATAAATAAATCCACATTAGAGAAGTTGCAATATTGAAGTTTGCTTGGTTGGATGAGTTGCTGCATCAAAAAAAAAAAGGAACAGAAAGAGGATTTATTTTTTTAGGTGAGAGTGGCTGGAAATTATTTTCCAAGCCATTTAATGTCCCTGCATTTGATCTGGCTCTGTTTCTTTTACATGGAAATCTTTTCTTTGGGAAAAAAAAAAAAAAGGTTTCTTTTTCTACCCCCAGCTATCAAATGTGTGCCTGGAAATAAAGCTGCCACCCACCTTTTTTTCTTTTTTTTCCCTTTTTTTTGATTGTAAGCTGAAAATGAAAGCTGTCACACTGATCAAATAGGGAAAGGGAAGAAAGTAAAAGTAGAAAGCAAATTTTTAAAAGGAGAACACCCAAAAAAAATGTGTTGCAGCTTCCAAAATTAACAATAATTTTAGAAAAAAATCGAAATTTTAGATAGAAATACAAAATGAATTGGCTATGTATGAAATCTGTGATATTCAGTTTATTTAAAGTGCTGTCAGATTTTCATAGAAAACCTTTCTGATTTGGTTTTTAGATTTGTTTTTTTCACATGGCTTTGTGTTGCTGGCTTGATCCCAGATATTTCTATGTGTGCCCACCTGTTGCTGCTCACCATTTTCCTGTTTAGGGCAACTTTTGGGTGCCCAAATCCAGAAAAATTCCTTCAACAAGAGCCTTGTCTGTGTCCTCCGTGAAATCCTACAATTTTCCTGAGTGAACTCCAAATCTTATCCCTTTACCTACAGGAAAATGCATTTTTAGGGGATTATTTTTATCTCTTCTTTTGGTACAACTCAGAATCGAGGGGGGAGTGTTTAAAAAAGCCACGCTGGACAGGGAAGGGGGAATTTCCATAGGAAAAACTGAGGCTCCTGAGGAATTTGAGCCAAATTTTGCCTTTTTCCCAGCCTGATTCTCCCTCCTGGTGCTGGCATGGGAATGCTTTGCTCCCTAAGTGTGGGAATATTCTGAAATAAGCAGCACAGCAGCAGGAGATGGAGCAGGGGCTTTGCTTTTCCCCTTATCCCACATCCATCCTTGGCAAGTCCATCCTCTTCTTTAATTTCCAAGGGGTGGCGACACACCAGCGAGCATGTGCTAAATAATTAAAAATAAACTGAGATCAAAAATAAAACTCAGCCCACCCTCAGCATTTCCCCCCCTCTCACACCTCCTTTTATATTTTGTTTTCCCCCAATCTCCTGAATTTCCAAGTGTCAGGGGACGATTTATGGCTGAGGGGAATCAACAGCTGCCTCGCACTTGATTCAAAACAGCACAAAAACAGAGGGGAAATTATTATTTAGGAGTTTTGGTGAAGCTGAGAGCAAAGAAACAGCAAACCCCAGCCCATTTTCTGCTCTGTGGGCGCTGAGCCTCGGTGGAAGTGGAAGAACAACATTCCTGAGAGCAGCCTTGAGGAATAAATCACCTTTGTCCAGCTTTGGTACCTGTTGGGGCTGGATGGTGGAGCTGGAATCAGCATTTCTTCCCGGGCCCATCCCGCAGGGATAATTCCCTTCCTTCCCATCCATCTGCCAAGGTGCTTCCACCAGCCTCCCCCTCTCTCATCACTGCAATATTTGAGTCCCCCCAGAGTGTTTAAAAATAGAAAGAGCAGCTGGTTTATGGAGCAGGATCCTGTGCTCTGGCCAGAAGGCTGGGAAAGGACTTTTTTCCCCCCTGTTTCCCCCTCACCTCAAACCTCTGCCACGAAATTTGGGCTCTGGGAGAGTTATTAGGGCTTCAGGAGTGGGGAATTTTTATCCATCTCCAGCTTTTATTGCTTTTGGGGCTGGGAATCCAAATTTGGCCGCAGATGTGGAATTGTGGGGTGAGTAAAGCACCATGAGCTTCATTAGAAGGGCATTGAGAATTTGCTTTTCTAGCTCAGATTTCCTTCAAGTTTGGAGTGTGTTTTCCTCGTTAAAATAATAAAAAAAAACCCCAAACCAAACCACTTTAATTTCATCATAACCCCTTCATTTGGGCTTAGACTTATGGAGCTGAGCAGGAGTGAGTCAAGAGGCAAAGTGTCCTTCAGATGTTTCAGGGCAGGTGTAGCCTGAAATTAACAGAGAAATAAAAGAATAAATTTATTTTAAAAGGTTTTCAGCTATTTTTGGCTCGGCTGTGAGAGGAAGGACTTTGTTGCTGGGCACTGGTTCACTCCAGGGCTGGGTTCTGTGGGTCTGGGGAGGGTGGCCAGGGCAGGATTTGCTTTTCCTGGATCATTGAAACCCAAGAAAACCATGGATGTGGCAGCAGCAAGTGGCTGAGGCTTTGTAAAGCGAGGCTTTACCCTGTCCTAACAGGGCAGGGCTGGGTTCTTTCACCTACCTGGAAAAGAGCTGCATTCAGCAAATCTTTGTTTTAATTTCTCCAGCCTTGGCACAGCAGCTGGGGGAGCC